TAGATAGATAGATAGATAGATAGATAGATAGATAGATAGATAGATAGATAGATAGACAGACAGACAAGAGAGAGAGAGGGGGATTGATGGGTGAATGGATAGATGATGAATGGATGGATGGATAGATAGAAGATAGAAGAGTGAGAGAAAGATGGATGGATGGATAGTTGATGGATGGATGGATAAAGAAGAGTGAGAGAAAGATGGATGGATGGATGGATGGATGGATGGATGGATGGATAGATAGATAGATAGATAGATAGATAGATAGATAGATAGATAGATAGATAGATAGATAGATAGATAGAAAGAAAAGTGAAAGATGGATAGATGGATGGATAGATGGGAGATGGATGAGAGATGGATAGATGCATGGATGGATAGATGGGTAAATAGGTAGGTAGATAGATAGAATGAAAGGGATAGATGGATGGATAGATGGGTAGGTAGGTGGATAGGTAGGTAGATAGATGAAATAGAAGAGTGAAAGATGGATAGATGGATGGATGACAGAGGGGAAAATGCATGGATAGATAGATGATAGATAGATAGATAGATAGATAGATAGATAGATAGATAGATAGATAAAAGATGGATAGATGGATGGGTGGGTAGGTACGTAGGTAGACAGATATAAAGTTGCAAATTTGAATGGTGGCTAAACAAAGAGTTCTAATTTGAGAACTGCTTGTACATATAATTTTTCTGAAACCAAGCTGGCCTGAACTCCTGTCTGGTGGGTTCCAGAATCTGATCCATTCTGGACTCAGGGTAGCAGCTAGTGGAAAAAGTATTCTATGGCGACCTCTCCCACCTTTTGAAGGGACTCTGAAGACAAACGCTGTAAACGGAAACAGGCTCACCGTATTCGACGTACACCGATCCGGGGGTGCTTCCATCCATGTTCTGCATGGAACAGGAAGCGTTGCCCTTGTACTGCGAAACATCTCCATTGGACTCTAAGGCACAAGACGTGAAAGAAAAAGAGGCCATCAAACGCCATGATCCACACGGGGGAAGCAGCGGACGGAACTGAGTGGGTGGAAGGGAGGAAAGGGGGAACGACCGCATCAAGCCGGAAGGAGAGAACACAACAAATGTTGGGTGAACAGAGACTCACAAGACGCAACAACAGATGCATTACAAGTAGGAGGAGGGGGGGGCATTCCAAAAGAGGTTGGTTGCAGGGTTCTCGGTGCTCTCTGAGCCTGGTTGCTTTCTGGCAGACGTTTCCTGACCCAACTAGGTAACATCATCAATGCTAGAAGGGAGGAGTGGTTGTGGAGAGGAGGAGGAGGAGGAGGAGGAGAACTATGTGGTCCTTGATGCTCTCTGAACTTGATTGTTTTCTTGCAGACCTTTCCTGACCCAACTAGGTGACATCATCAGTGCTAGAAGGGAATGGGATTTGCAGAGAGGAGGAGGAGGAGGAGGAGGAGGAGGAGGAGGAGGAGGAGGAAGAGGAGGTATGTGGTCCTTGATGCCCTCTGAACTTGTTTTCTTGCAGACCTCTCCCGACCTAACTAGATAACATCATCAGTGCTAGAAGGGAGCGGGGTGTGCAAAATGGAGGAGGAAAATAGGAGATGACGGTGATGGTACGGTAGTAGTGGTGATGCGGATGGTAGTGGAAGAGGAAGAGGAGGAGGAGGACTGTAGGATCCTTGGTATTCTTTGAGCTCGTTCGTTTTCTTGCAGACATTTCATGACCCAACTAGGTTACATCATCAGTGCCAGAAAGGAGTAGGGGTTTTCCCCCCCCCTCTCTATTTATACACTAGTACAAGTCACCCAGATGACTAGAATTCAATGTCTCCTGGTAACTATCCCAATGTCATCCAATTGGCTTTCATGTCTAAGGCGGGACTAGAATTCATCCTCCTTCTGTCAATTGGCCCAAAATCACCCAATTGGCTTTCATGCCTAAGGCGGGACTAGAATTCAGTCTCCTGGTGATTGGCCCAAAGTCACCCAGCCGGCTTTCATGCCTAAGGTGGGACTAGAACTCACTGTCTCCTGGTGATTGGTCCAAAGTCACCCAGCCGGCTTTCGTGCCTAAGGTGGGACTAGAACTCACTGTCTCCTGGTGATTGGCCCAAAGTCACCCAGCCGGCTTTCATGC